AGAGCTGGAGGAAAACTACTTTCCTTTCTGCTGATTCTCAGAGGGTAATAACCACTAGCATGGGAACAAAAAATTGCATGCAGTAACTTCTTAAATTACTATAGCAAGATTCATGAGAGCTCACTCTGTCAAAGCCCTGCATTATGGTCCAAATCGAACATGCAGAACCACTGAAATCCCTGCTTAGGTGCTGATTAAGATGGCAATGTTGAATCCAGATTCCCATTTGGATCTGCTGCCCAAAATCCTAACTCTGCTCAACTGTTACTACTCAGAGTCTACTTCATGACTTAAGTCTCAGCGGAATTCTTAAACTTGGTATTTTTTTTGTCTGTCTAATACACAGGCCAGTGCCTGGCTAACATAACACAAAAGAAAGACAAAGATTTACACACAAATGTGTTTCCCAGCAGTGAGCACGCTGTCCTGTGATGTGGGAAGCAATATTAATTGAAGCAAGATCTTGCAGCCTGACTCTACCACATCCCAGGGAAATGCCGTAGCCCTTGGGCATTGAGTTAATCTCTCATTAGCCATACCTCTGGTCTCTTGAATAAATTATTTATGAAAAGCAGAAAAACTTCAATAGGAAAAAGTGAAAAGAGATTTACCATGGAGTTCTGGTAAGGAAGCCAATTCTTCAGGAGGTGATATAAGTTTGAAGAAAAAAAGAAAGCCACTTTAGACAACAAATCAGTTTGCACTTTGGGGGCATGTACACATTAAAACTAGCCAGATGCTATCCTGTATGTAAGATAAATGAATCCTCTTCTTTCAGTACCAAGCAGAACAAAAATATGTAAACAGGATTCCTACTGACAAAATGAAGAGGATATTCATCAGGCTACGTGAGGTACCTTGTCCACCTCTCACACTCAGGCTACCTCACTCAAAATTACATGGCTTACTTGACTGAGGGCCCCATCTTGAGGAAGGGGTTGAGAGCTGAAAACCCCAAGTAGAAAGTGAGGTCTGTTTTGAGGAGCTCTCAGATGTCTATTTTGAAGAATAGTTTTAAACTGTACCTTTCCTATTCACATTGGCCCTAACCAAATCTGCTTACCGTTTGCTGAATTCTATTGACTCCTTTTATTGCACTTCCATTTCTACCTTTGCACTATACAAACACAGAACAAAAAATTTTTAAAAATGTTTGGTAGAGTGATTTCTCTGAAGAGCCAGGCTACTACTTGTAACTTGGATACCTAACACCAAGCTGCATGTTGCCTCCATCACAGAATCACAGAACAGTTTGGGTTGGAAGGGACCTTTACAGGTCACCTAGTCCAACTCTCCTGCAATAAGCAGGGATATCTACAACTCAACCGAGTTGCTCAGAGCCCCGTCCAACCTGACCTTAAATGTTGCCAGGGATGGGGCATCTACCACCTCTCTGGGAAACCTGTTCCACTGTTTCACCACCCCCGTTGTACAAAATTTCTTCCTTAGATCTAGTCTAACTCTACCCTCTTTTAGTTTAAAACCATTACCCCTTGTCCTATTGCTACAGGCCCTGCTAAAAAGTCTCTCCCCATTCTTCTTATAGGCCCACTTTGAGTACTGGAAGACCACAGTAAGGTCTCCCCAGAGCCTTCTCTTCTCCAGGCTGAACAACCCCAACTCTCTCAGCCTGTCCTCATAGGAGAGCTATTCCATCCCTCTGATGATTTCTGTGGTCCTCCTGTGGACTCTCTCCCAACAGGTCCACGTCTTTCCTGTGCTGAGGGCTCCAGAGCTGGACACAGGACTGCAGGTGGGGTCTCCCAAGAACAGAGTAGAGGAGCAGAATCACCTCCTTCAACCTGCTGACCACATTGCTTTTGATGCGGCCCAGGATACGGTTGGCCTTCTGGGCTGCGAGCGCACAGCGCCAGCTCATGTCCAGCTTTTCATCTGCACAGTTCAAAACCTGGAATTCTTTCAGACAGGTGTACGCTTACTTTCACGGTTTTTAAGAAACATGCAATGCTCATTACTTTTATTTAAAACAATATGGGTGGGCAGAGGAAAAGAAAGATGAAAGACCTCATACAAAAAGATCTCATGACCCTCTCTGTTAGAAGAGCAGATCCACCACATAAATTGCTGTAACTTCAGAAACTGCTAAGAATTATATGACAATCTTCACTACAAGTTAAATAGCCAGAAACCTCAATTTTTTTCTCATGATCTTCTGGAAGAGTATTTCTATATGTAACCAAATGTAACAGGTCCAATCCAAAGGACAACTCAAGCTCTTGGAACAAGGGGAACTTAGAACTGAAGCACAAGCCTAGAAAGACACTGCTGGAGTTTTGTCTAACATGATAGTAACCACCTGACTTGATTTTAAGTACATACAACTTTGTTCCTTTGTTCCACAACTCCTTGTCTAAACATCCAGATACCCAAGGAAAATACTCAGCTGGCCAAAACACTTATCCAGTCTTTGGGCTCACAATTTTGAATGTGTTAAGTGCCTCTGACGAACAGGCAGACAACCGTCTGACTCTCTGGCTCCACTCTTGATCAGGTGTGATCACAATCTTCTTCAGATGCACAACCTGTGGGGGCTTACAACAGTATATCCTCAGCATTTTGTTTAGATTTCACCCTCTTCCAGGATCCCTTTCTGATGTCTTGCGGATTTCTGGTGGTGTGCAAACCTCCTAGAGCAACTATGGTTTAGAACTCTGTGCAATGCAGGTTGAATGGATAAAACCAGACTTGCAGGGTAAACTGTGATATAAATCACCTATATCTAAATTTATGTCTAACTGTTGAAAACTCGACTGGTTTAGCTATCATGATGGGATCAAAATTACCTCCACACAAGTAGTGTAATTTTTACATGAAATGTCTTAGAATCAATGCTGCAACATACACATTCATGGTGAAATGTCTACACATCAGTGTTGTAATGTGTTCATGAATGCTTAGCAATAACCTTAAAATTACATGTATGTAAAAATTATTTCAATTTCCTGTTTGTACATAAAAGCAGTAGTTGTAAAAAACAAAACTAGTAAAATAAAAAACTAATTCTATATACATCCTTGGATAAAGAAGTTATGTTGAAGTATCAATGCCTATTTTAGGAATGTATCTGTTTGAAAACAGATTTCAAAATCACAGTCTTCAAGTCCTAAATGATTCTTCATCAATATTATATAACACAAATTATGCATCAATTAATCTTCCTCATATTACAATGAATTATAGGGGAGATGTTACAGCTTCACAAGAAGTACCTGTAAGATTGCCTTAAACCTTCCAGTTACAGCACGATGCCACATATTGCATGAAGTAAATATCCAAACCAGATTCAGTTTTCATAGTGCAATGAATGCCATTATTGACATTTTCCTCATTTAAATTTTTCTGTTATTCATAAAGACTTTTTTAGTATATTTGGGTTACGTTCAGCAAGCAGGTGCAGGGAATTCATGGAGTGGAGAACTAATTTTACTCTAACTTAAAGCACCAATTAGAAGAAGAAAAGTTTCTTTGCTTTTCCCAGCTAATGAATAAAAAGTTGGACAAGGGGAAGATGTACTCAGCATAAAACCATTAAGATCAAGGGCTAGATTTTGGGAATAATTTCCAGTTTTAGATGAATGATGGAATTTTCAAAAACGCTTAAGCAGATCAGGCACTGTACTCCCTTAGATTTAAGACACTTAACTGTTTAGGTATTTAATGGAGTTTTCAGCAGGCTTAAATGCCTTTGAAACAACTAGTCAAATGACTAAAAATATCTAGCATTTCCTCTGGCTAGTAAGTCAGTTTTTAAATGCAAAATGTGTTTTTAATAAACGTAGGGCCTGTCTCCCAGGTCAGGTGCAGACAGTTGTGCACTCGTTAAGCTTATGCTCTCAGCAGGCTGGACCCAAGCCAGCTTCTGTGTACAGAAGCCATATGAACTACATTTTCACGTTCATTTTAAGACAGTGCTGTGGCCAAGAGAAACAATCTCTGCCCTCAACCAGCCCCCTAACACTCATCCCTAACCACCACATTACCACCTCCCTTCTCCCAGCATAAGCATTTGAATTGCATCAGAGGCCTTGTTTAGGTTAAAAATAACTTTTTTTTTTGGCCGGATTAGGTTTGACCTGGACCAGATTCCTGATCCAGCTCACTATGTTGCTGCACAAACACTTGTGCAAGCAGAAGAAGTAGCAAGACATGCAGAAAGGGCAAGTCTACTTCTTTTGGTGGCAATGCTGGTCTCTGTCAAATCACAGCACGTGACCAAACATATCCTTATTTCTTCTTTACCATACTCATCACATTTAAACCACTTGTATTCAATTAAATGTAATTTTGTAATACCGTTTTGTACATTTTAATTAAATCACATTTTTCATGTAAATAGAGCATGACTCAGAAATGAAAATGAAATTAAGAAGTAAGATTCGTTAGTTACAAAAGAAGCCAGCAAAAATTCAGAACACGAAAGAATGTTCTTCAGGTTTTCTTCTGATAATTGGAAAGAAATAATTAATTCAGTCTAAAGCTTTCAGCTGTTCACAAATAAAATGTTTTACTTATACCAACCAATGAGAAGAGAGCTTTCTTTAGGAAAATCCTGTACAACATGAATTTTAAAAAGGTAAAAAAATCAGTTAATCTGCTTTGATGGAAGCTATTTGAATCCTTGCTTTTCCTTTTCTGTATCATATCTCACTGTTAGACTTAAAACATACCTCCTCCATATATATTCCCCCTCTGCCTTTTCAACTGGTGTGTTTAAGCAAAGCAAAGAATAAGTAAGAGAAGATACGGTCTGCAGTGTGCATTTCTAAGGCTGTCTAAATTATTATGCATTTCCACTTCCCTCACACTACCTGGGCAAAAGCTCACCCTGGACCAGCCAACACTGCATCGTCAGCTAGAGAAACAACCAGTTTTGCACATGACCTCACTCGCAGAAAATGTTCAAGGAACATGCAGCACTTTATGCCACGAGGAGTGACTTTCCTTTCACGCCTTGCATTCCTGGCAACTCTTGGAGGTACCAGTTCTCAGGGATCCTCTGAAAGGTGACTGATGTTGATATAAACATGGTAAGGAAAGGGATTTCTTCATAAACATGACAAGTAAAGGGATTTTCCTTCCCTGTTTCCCACATGCCGGTGCCGAGGCTGGTCTCGCAGAGCAGCGGCACACCTTGTCAATGTAAGCAACAACCCACCATGCTAAGGGCTGGCCAGCAATGGGCTCCATCTGCAAACTATCAGCATCAAATGCAAGGCCCATATCAAGAGATACCCCAGTCAAAGGTGAACCGAAAAACCAGAATGGGGTTAAGGAGATGGCTCCAGACCCCGGTGAGGTACTGGGCACCTGGGGGCTTGGTGCATCCATGGAAGAGCTGGAGTTAGTGGCACACCCCAAGGCAGTGCTATCTACAGCCACCAGTTTTTCGGGCTGCCTTCACTGCCCACCAAGAGTCCCACCTTCCCCGCTGGCCAGGGAGGGCTGCGGCGGGCGGGCAGGGGCTGAGCAACCGCCTGAAGGGCGATCCCGGGCAGTGTGGGGTGGCAGGGCGCCATAAGGCTAAGGCGCACGCTCCCCCAGCGACACGGCCAGTGTCCCA